GGGGGGGGGGGGGGGGGGCTCCTAATGAGAACCAGGAGTCTAGCGTGCAAGGGGCGGGCGGCTCTCTGGGGTGAGGGTTGGCCTGTAGCTGGCAGGGGAAGGCCGAGGTGCCCAGAGGCTGCAGGGGCTGGGAGAATCAGCATTGTCCACCTCCCAGGCCCTTCACTGAGCTCCTACACCCACACTGTCCCGCCCCACAGCCTCCCCCTCCGCTTCTGGGTGAACATCTTGAAAAACCCCCAGTTTGTCTTCGACATAGAGAAGACAGACCACATCGATGCCTGCCTGTCTGTCATCGCGCAGGCCTTCATTGATGCCTGCTCCATCTCTGACCTACAGCTGGGCAAGGTTAGCCTACTCCCCGATACTCCTGAGTAGGGGGGAGGGGCTAGCCTGAACTCTGTGAGTCCTTCCAGGTGGGCAGAGAGTGGGTGGCGGGCCAGGGGGAGCCCCACAGGCACCGACCAAGGGCAGAGAGTAGAAGCCACAAAGCCTTCTGAGAAGAGAGGTGACCTGGCTCAGAGGTGACCTGACCTGAGGCCATGAGCACCCATGGGATCGCAGAACTAGACTGGTACTGTGGGGTGAGGGCCGGGCCCTGTCTCTAGCCCTGGAGTCTGAGCCCACAAGGGAAAGGAAATGTCACCACTTCACACATGCATTCCGTGACAACAAAGAATTGCCAGCATCCTTAGCACATGGTGCTTTTGGGGTGTTGGAAGTGCAGGGTGGGAAACATTCCCGCAGCCAAGAACCAGCTCCCAGCCATCTCAGCCACCAAATCCCATCACCCTAATAAGGGTGTAAACAAGACAGGCTGCGGGCTGCGTGCAGCAGAGGGCTGCTGGCACCCAGCCCAGGAGCTCTTCCCATTAAATGAGAGTCCCCATCCCGTCCCGTCCCCCCACCCCCGTGGGTCACTGTCCTCATAGCCCCCAGCATGGTAGGCCAAGGCCTCCATGCAAGAGAGGGGGAGGGCCAGAAGAATCCCGGGTCCCAAGTCTGACTGAGTGTTGTTTAGCCATGGTCGAGGACCCACTAAGGCCCTCTAGGGGGCAGTGGGGACAAGTCCCATCTTCTAGCCACCCACATGCTGTGATACCCCTGCCCAGGACTCACCCACCAACAAGCTTCTGTATGCGAAGGAGATCCCCGAGTACCGGAAGATTGTGCAGCGCTATTACAAACAGATCCAGGACATGACTCCTCTCAGCGAACAGGAAATGAACGCACACCTGGCTGAGGAGTCGCGGGTAGGTGGCCTGGGGGGCCTAGGCAAGGAGGTAGTGACAATGGCCTTGGCCCCGAGGGGCCAGCACCCATCAGGATGGGGCAGGAGACACAGGGAGAATTTTGGGGCAGCCACAGTTTCCCTCCTTTGCGTACACCTTCATCAACGTCTTTTTCCCCAAAGTCCAAGGATAGGGTGGAGTTTACTCAGAAGATATGGGAGGTTGGAATTCTGGGTCCAGGAAAACAGTGTGTCCCCAGGTTGGAGGGGCCTGAATTAGTCTATCAGCAGGCTGTGGGAAGGGAGTGGACTGGGTCCTAACCTGGAGGGCTAAACCTTCCCTTTCTTCTTACCCCACCTTTATAGAAATATCAGAATGAGTTCAATACAAACGTGGCCATGGCTGAGATCTATAAATATGCTAAGAGGTATCGCCCACAGGTGAGTTCCCCCACCCAAGATTTGTCCATTTCAGCCCATAAAAATGAACTTCTCGCTTTAGGTTTATCTGGGGGTATTGGCACTTTGATGAGGTCACTGGTGAGTGCCCCCTCCCAAGACCTAAGGCATGGCACAACTGACCCACCCCCTCCCCCCAGATCATGGCTGCCCTGGAAGCCAACCCCACTGCCCGAAGGACCCAGCTCCAGCACAAGTTTGAGCAGGTGGTGGCTCTGATGGAGAACAATATCTATGAGTGTTACAGCGAGGCCTGAGGCAGGAGAGTGACCAGAAGCTACTGCCAGGGAGACGGTGACCAGGCCACTTGGGCCTCTGTCTGGTCTCTTCCCCACACCTCTTAACCCGGGCTGGGAACTGACAGAGAGGAGCCTGCTGGGTGAGAAGGGAGGAGGACCCTGGCCTCTTAGAGCCTCAGAGCTCTCAGCCTCGTCCCCTGGGGCATCTCTGTCCTTCCATCTGCCCAAGATCTGACTCTGGGACAAGGGCTTTGAACATCGCTGCCAGTCCTGGAGAAGGCTTTCGCTGCCAACCGGGACGGCCTGGACCGCGCCTGCCTGCACCGCGCCTGCCCACTCGCTCTGCTCCAGCCAGGCTGCTCGGCACACGTTGGGAGAGGTGGCCGTATCCCAGAACACTACCTCATCCACCTGGCAGAGGGGAGCCTGCGATTGATTTCGGCTTCAGCCACCAAGACGTTGTCTGTGTCCCTCACCCAGAGGGGGCCCTGGCCACCAACAATTCCAAGCAGGGTCAGATTTTTGTTGTTGTTGATGTTGTTCCATCGGCCAGCGGCAGCATGGGCAGCGCCCATTGCCCACAGAATGGTGGAGAGGAGGAGACAGGTTGGGGGTTCCTGTCCTCCAGAAAGGGAGAAAGTCAAGGATGCAGGGCTGTAGCTGGACTACCCAATCTTCCTGGAAGTGTTTCTAAAGAGCACCACTTTTTTTTGTTGTTGTTTTGTTTTTTAAAATCTTTTATATATTAAAGAAAACTTATCACGCACCAACTGTGAATTGCTGCCGCTTGTGCAGAAGACCTATGGGTCCCCAGGGGCTCCCGGTGTGACACTGGAAACGACTGTCCCAGGAGACAAAGTTCGCATCTGTCCCCAGCACAGGCCACCCTGCGCTGTGGGGGACTGGCTCAGAGCCTGAGGCGGCTGGGCTGGAGGGGAAGGCTGGGACTCTCTGGAACATTCTTTATAATAAAAGCCTGCCGGGAAAACCTCCTATGGGCTTCAACCTTTGTCCTAAGATGGCCGAGGGGGAGGATGGGGCTGTCTCTTCATCCCGTTTATGGCAGAGAGGAAGTGCAGAGCCTAGCCCCGCATCCTGCCTAAGGGCAGACCTCTGCCCTCTGCCGGCTGGGAGTTTGAGGCTGCACCCTCTCTCCCCGTGGACAGCCCTGCCACCCAGGAAGACGGCACCACCTCATGTGCTACCTCCCGTTTGTGCTGGGCTGGACATGGAACCCGTTGCCCTGTGCTGGCTTGAACATGCTCTCCCACTGAGCCACACCCAGCTCCCACCTTGTCTTTATTCAAACCTAGGAAAAGCAGACACTTGGTCTTCTTCATTTTGCAGACACAGAAACAGGGTCAAGGGGCTGGAAGATTTTCAAGGGGTCACACAGCCAAGAAGGCCAAAATGGGAACTAGACATCTGGATCCCTTTCTCCTTGCCCAAGCCCCTCCCTCTAAAGAAGTCCCTACCGCCAAATTTGAGGGGGGTTCCAAAACTGACCCCCCCCCCAATTCTCTCATCTGGTCTTCAACTGTACACCCCTTGTTTCAGGCAAGGAAACTCAGTTTCCCTGAGGCCAGCTGCGGCCTGTACTCTTCCCACAGCCGTCAGACCTGACCATCTATCTGACCTGGGGTAGCACACGCTGACCCGCCTGGGGCCCCAGTTCTGTTCCTCAGGGCTGAGTCAATGAGGTTCTCCCCAGAAGCAGGGCGTGGCAGAGCCAGCCTGAGTAAGGGCCATTGGCACAAGTGTCCCCTCAGGAAGGAAAAGTCCCCACTGTGCTCGCCAAGAGTGAGCCAGGACCAGAATTCCCAACAGCAAAATCCAAGACCCGACCTAGAATTCACCAGCTCAAAAAAAGTGAACAACCTCCACTCCAAAAATAGCTTTTCTCCTGCAATGGCTGTGGGTGGAGAAACCATCTTTATCTTTCAGATCTCTGATGCTGGGGGATCTTATTAAGGAACAGATTTGCTGATTTCAATTATTGGCAGATTTGATGGGTTTGGGTTCCCCCCCCTCCCTTGATGAGGTGTGACTCCAGAATGGGATTTACAATTCCCAGAAAAATACAACTGCAAAAAAAGCCCTGGAGAATAAAAGCTTCAATACGCTTTCGGGGACACTGTCACACAAGGCGCGGCCACGTAAGGCCAGCACCCTTGCCTGAGTGGGGCCAGGAGGGAAGACGGATCAGTCCACACTCCATATTCCAAAGCCTGACTTTTCCCTTGTGCGACAATATGTCAGGGACATCTTTCGGAGTCATTAAATATTCCACAGTCTGGCTCCGTCTCATTAACATACAGCTTGCTGACATTCAGAAGGGAAGGAATCTATGCACAGATCCGCTTTCCAGGGTCACTGGCCTTGCCAGGTGGGCAACCTCTATGAACTGTCAGCAGTCCTTGCCTGGGGACCCAAACACATGCCTGGCAGTCACGGGCACTTAGGCGAGGAACTGGATGGAGCATCCTCAGGCTAAGACTGCAGAGTGGGGGGAGATGGATGGAGCATCCTCAGGCTAAGATTGCAGAGTCGGAGAGACCACCACAGAGGAGGGCGGTCTCCCAGATCTCTAAGATGGTTCGAAGTCTACTCCCACCTTGTCACCGGGGCAGGCCTGATCGGTCCCCTAGCTCCTGGAGACAAGAGGCTACAGGCTGTCCCTCCGGCTTCAGGCCTCACCATGCAGGAGCAGAGGCAAAAGCTGAGCGGCTGCTTGGGAAGTGCCAGCCTGCCATCTGCCGGGTGCCCCTTGGGGCCTGCTGACAGGCACATTATAGAAACCCCAGGGAGCCGGCAAAACCAGACACAGCTTTCCATGGGACTCCAAGGGAGAAGCCACGGACAACAGAGAGCCCTGAGCCCCATACTAGGCACTCAGTTTCCCCAATGCTGTGTGCTCCCTTCCCAAGGATCCCCCCGACTGAGAATGCCCTCTAACACACCCTTTGCGACAGCCTCTCAGCCTTGGCAGGGTCCCCCCCTCACCAAACAAACCTGAAACTACCAACACATCTTGGACCCCTTTCTCCAGCCGGCTACCACCAGGCCTCACCCCCCATATTGAAGGCCCTCCTCTCCCTCATCTGTGCTGACACAGGGGTGCTCTGGCTGGCTCCACGTGTCCGCCATGCCCCTGGGCCACTCCCTTTCCTTACGACTGACAGTAAGCCCACAGAGCCCATCCTTTGTGATACCCTCATGGTGGGGACCGCCTGCCTGCCAGCAGCCCCGTCATCCAGCGTTCAGGTGCCAAGAGCAGCGGCAAGCACTCTGCTTAGGCATTTGCCATGGGGACATTGTCCCTTTCTACCCGGTGTCAGCAAGGAGAGCTCAAAGGGGGTTCTCTCCCACGGCAGCAGTGACCTGAAGCTCAGGGCTGAACTGGGGGCCTGTGGCTCTGAGTGGGTGGTGTGGGCTTCCCTACAGCGTGAGGGATATCCGTGAAAATACAAGAAACTTCAAAAGTCACTGATATGACTAGTCTTGTTAGCCACCCTGCTCTCTGGGGCCCATCTAAGTGAGGGTTTCTGTTGCTGTGATGAAACACCATGACCAAAAGCAGCTTGGGGAGAAAAGGGGATATTTTAGCTTACAGCCTTGTAGTCCATCATCGAAGGAAGCCATGTCAGGAACCTGAAGGCAGGAGCTGAAGCAGAGGCCATGGAGGAGTGCTGCTTGCTGGCTTGCTCGGTCTGCTTTCTTCTAGAACCCAGGACCACCTGCCCACAGGAAGCTGGGCCCTCCCACATCAATCATTAATCAAAAAATCCCCACAGGCTCATCTGGTGGGGACATTCTCTCAAGTGAGGTTCCTTCTTCTCAGATGACTCTAGATTGTGTCAAAGTGACCAAAAAAAGTGACCCTAAAAGCTAGCACACTATCTCCATCTGCTGAGGCTGAAATTAAAGGGGTGGGCACAGTGCTCACCTGGCATTTATGTGGGTTCTGGGGGTCCAAACTCTAGTCTTACACTTACATAGCAAGGAATTTAACCACTGAGCTACCGCTCCAGCCCTCCACCCTGGGTTGTTTTTTTTTTTTTTCTTTTTTAGACATTTTGAGTCTTTCACTCAACCTGGAGCTTGCCGTTTAGCCGAGGCTGGTTGGGTAGTGAGGTCCCAGGATCCTCCTGTCTCCATCACCTGGCACTGGGTTATAGGCACGCATTGCCACACTCAGCTTTTTATATGGGGGATTTGAACTCTGGTCCTCATTATGTAGCCAACACTGTGCCCACTGGACCGTCCTGCATCCTCAGGATGAGCTGGAGCCTCAGATTTGTACGTCATTGCCACTGCGCTCCAGTCAGGCCATGCAGAGCCGACTCCCCCATCCATGGGAAGTGTCTCACAGATGGTTTACAAGCAAATGCAGACTTTGTCCCCATAACTTGTCCTCACCCTTTGGACTGTGGCCCCATAGGGCATGTCAAGCACACCCCTGCCCCAGGGCCTGAAAGGGTTGATGTTGATCGCCAACTTGACTGGATTTGGAATCACCTAGGAGACACACCACTGGCTGTGTCTTTGAGGCCATTTCCTTCTAGAGATGTTTTAGGTGGGAAGATCCACCCTGAATTTTGGCACAAAATTTGAAGTCCCACACTGAGTAAAAAGGAGAAAGCAAACTGAGCCACGCACCAGTATCCATTCATCTCTCTCCGTTCCCGTCTACAGTGTAAGCCACCAGTTCACACACTCCAGCTGCTGGGCCTTTCCTGCCATGATGGATGATGTCCCTTTAAGCCACCAGCTAAAATAAACGCTTCCGCCCAGACTTGGGGCCCTGCTTAGCAGCCCTCTCCTGTCTAAAATTGCACCAGAGGCTGGTGAGATATGGCTCATCAGGCAAATTTGCTTGCTGCCAAGCTCGAACAAATTCCATCACTGGGACTCACAAAGTGGAAGGAGGACTCCCTTCAAATTGTTATTTGACCTACACACATATACATACACACACACACACACACACACACACACACACACACCGTGACACATGCACATCTGAACACACTAAATAAGCTACAGTTGCACAGAATTACACCCCTTTGGAGACAACAGTGCTGATCCCCCAAGCCAGAGTCTGCCCCTCTGGGTGGAGGCTTGTCCACGGCCAAGCTCAGGAAGAAGCTTGCAGTGGTCTCTGGCCCCTCAAGTCCTCCATCCCCCGTTCAGCAGTCAGAAGGCTCTTTCTAGAGACATCAGCTGCACCGTTGCCTGTACCACCCCCCCTACCCCACCCGACCCCTGGCTCTCAAGTCCTCAAAGTCTGCCTCTGCCCCTCTGGGCCTTCCTGCCTTACAGTCCAGTGTCCAACATACCAATGTGTGAACAGAAAGAAGTCTTTATTGATAAATAAATTATGATTAAACATTGTGACAGTTAGGGAATAAAAAAAGCTCCGAGTTGCCATCTCCTCAATCCTGGCCCTAGCTACCTACCAGCCTCGGCCTTCTTGCTGGGCACCTTGGATGAGGTCTTGGGGGGTAACCCAGGCCTTTTGGAGTTCTCGGGGGTCTTTGTTCTCCTGACCCTATGTGTGGGTTGTGCTCTGCACCCCATGTCCTGGGGAGGAGCAGGTGCTTTGGTCTTGTGTACCATCCTAGCCCCCTGAACAGCTGTTTCAGTGTGGGCCGTGGCTGCCATCTTCCTTTTGGCAAGGGAAGCACCACTATTCTGGACCTGTAAGAAAGCAAGCCCGGTGGTAGGCGGATGCTCACCAGTAGAGTGCTCACTTCATGAGCACAAAGACTTGAGCTCACCTCCCAGAACCCACAAAGCAAGCCTGGCAAGACTTGAGACCCGGGGGGTAACAGGCACCTACCTACCTTGTTGGCCGAGGGCTCTGATTTCTCACACACATCTTTGGTTTTCCTATAGGCCTCTGCTTCTAGAAAATAGAGGGAGTGGTGAGGGGCAAAGGATCCAGAGGCTCTAGAGTTCCCAGCCTGCCTAGGTCCCAGGTCATTACCCGG